AACTGAGATCCGGGTCCGGAATGGTGAAAATGTGCGATTTCAATGCATTTTCGGCCTTAAAGCGGCCGCCATTTGGCTATCGTTAATGAGATCATGAAACAAATGCACATACATATTTGTGACATGATGTACCATGTGTGTGTGAAGTTTGAACTCGATCAATCCAAGCATGTCTCAGATACAGATCCAGAACTGAATTCTTTAAAACAAAATGGCCGCCAGTCGGCCATTTCGAACCCGATCCAAAAAAAAATGACGTGCATCAAGATCCTATTATGTTTAATGTATGTACCAAATTTGAACAAAATCCGTCCATGCATAACTGAGATCCGGGTCCGGAATGGTGAAAATGTGCGATTTTGATGCATTTTCGGCCTTAAAATGGCCGCTATTTGGCTATCGTTAATCGGTTCATGAAAAAAATGCATGTGCATATGTCCCATATAATGTGTGATGTATGAGTGAAGTTTGAACTTAATCGGTCCATGCATGTTCGAGATACAGGTGATCACGGACGCACGCACACAGGGCAAAACATAAGTCCCCGTTTTCGGACTGCGTCCGAACGGGGACTAATGAATCATTTTAACAGTTTACCGCAACAGCAGCAGTGAATACCAATTCAACACAATGCTGTCAGCTGACAATGTTGAATGGTGATCATAGGTGATCGTGGCATTACGCACAAGAATCAATGATCACAGATCAATGAAAATCACTTTAGTTTTGAAATGCTGTTGTAGAAAAAACATAGCAAAACTATTGAAACCTTGCAAGGAAATAGTTGATACAACTGGTTAAGTTGAGACCAAGAATTGGCTAAATTCTTGAAATAGTGAAATTTTATAAAATAATTTTCATTTCACCAAATATCACTAAGCAATACATTTGGAAAAGGGGTGTTGATTTTGTGATGTAATCTCATTGCATTCGTCTCCTTCTCTAATTGTTCTATATTTTTTTTTCTTTAACCTCATTGCATTTTTCTCCTTTTCCAGTTGTTCTATATTTGACTGATTGACGATAACATTGGTTTTTACGTTTCTGTTTCATATACAGGGATCTGCCCACGTTGGTCGGCGTCGGTCGCTAGCGACCGGCACTCAAATTTCCGACCAGGACAAAAAGTTGCCGACCAGCACTCTTCTATTTGTTTATGATACACACAGGATGTCGGCCACTGGACCATCATTCTATTGTCCTTGTTGGTTTTAACACACAACATAATGCAAGAAGACACTGCTGTTCAAAATCAACGTACACATGTGATATTGGCCAAATGTGTTTTTGTTTTAACCTCCGATTGACATTCTGTTAGTTTTAACAAACGAACCAGATAGGAATAAGTCGTACATCAAGATTATGGAAGGGAAGACAACAATAAACAAGTCATTGAAAATGACACATTCCCCGTTAAATTAAGTTCTCTTTGTGCTCGTCATATTAAAGCGGAGGGGTTGTCGTGAGCGTGTCCTTGAAACTTGAGTTCCAAGTGGCGTATACAACAGAATGTTTACTTACATCAAAACACGTGTTCCGTGTAGTAGTAATATGGCCAAAAATAAAAACAGCCGTTATTCGGCCATCTTTGATCTGATTATGAAACACACTGATATGTATGATGTATGTGCCAAATACGAATGAAAATGGTATATAAATTGTGGAAATATAGTAGTAAGGCCAAAAAGTCAAATGGCTGTCAATCGGCTATCCTTAACCAGATTTTGAAACAAATTGTCATGGACATGCATCCTCACATGTATAAAGTACATGTATGTGCCAAATTTTAATGAAAACTGACTAAGCACATAAATACCGCATAAAAAAACAAGCAGCCTATCGGCTGAGTTAGCTCCGCTGTTAGCAATGCACATTTCAATTAAAGAACTGAAGACATCATTAGAAAATGAACAATATGTATAGTATCAAAGCAATCGGCTTTCAGTTTTTAACAAGAAGTCGAAAATATCACTTTCTACCAAAAATGACAAAAATATTCACCAAAATTATAGAATCAAAGATATCATCACGAAATGAACAAATCTGAGAAAGGTCTACATGTAGTATCTAAATATGTAATATCAAAGCAATTGAACTTTTGGTTTTTAACAAGAAGTCGAAAATATCACTTTTTACCAAAAATTACAAAAATATTCACCAAAATTAGAGAATTGAAGACATCAACACAAAATGAACAAATCTGAGAGAGGTCCACATGTAGTACCTGTATATGTACCTATATATATATCACTCATATGATAAGCTCCGCTCGACAAAGTCGACAGCGGAGCTAAAAAAAAAAATGCCTGCCAGTCGACCATCTTTGATCCAATTGCGAAATAAATCGTCATGAACATGTATCCTAACATGTATGTTCTATGTACTAAATTTGAATGAAAACTGACAAAGCATGTTCAAAATACGACATTTTCAAAAAACAAGATGGCTGCCAGTCGGTAATCTTTGATCCAATTGTGAAATAAATTGTCATGGACATGTATCCTAACATGTTTAATCTATGTACCAAGTTTGAATGAAAACTGACGAAGCATGTCCAAAATACAACATCTTCAAAAAACAAGATGGCTGCCAGTTGGCCATTTTGAATGGAATCGCTAAACCACTGCATGTGCATAATCGGTCCAAGGGATTCTGAGATACGACTCCTGACGGACAGACGGACGGACGGACGGACGGACGGACGGACTGACGGACGGAGACCGAATTACAAGTCCCTGTTTTCGGACTTCGTCCGAACAGGGACTAATAAACAGAAGAAAGGATTACCATTACAAATTTAGTTGTGTGTAGGATTTATCGAGTTGAACAATAACTTGCTAACTTCACCGACAGCGATGCGTCAAGCTGTCGTTCATTTAATCTGCACTTCGAGTGAAGGAACATTCATCAATGTTTTTG